GAGGGGATTAAAGAGAAGGGGGATAGAAAAAATGAAGGCAGAGGTGCGGGCAATTTACATAATATCAGCTTTGGAAAGTGATGTCAATGGCTTAGAACTACATAAATATTTGACCAGGTTAGACATTGCAGGTTTGTGTGATTTTCTGTTTGTTTGTTTGGAGACAATTTCTCTGTGATAACGGTCCTTTCTGTCCTGGAACTCACTCTGTAGACCAGGATGGCCTCAAATTCACTGAGATCCTCTTGCCTCTGTCTCTTAAGTGCTGGGATTAAAGGTGTGTGCCACCACTACCCACCTAGTCCGTAGACTTTGAAAGAATATATCTTGGATTACCCAGGCCAGCCCAGTGTAACCATCCTTACTGGAAGAGAATTGTAGAGAGTATCATGAAGAGTCAAGCAGCCATTGTCAGCTTGAAGGTGGAGGGGGCATGTGCCATGAAATGCAGGAAGCTTCCAGAATCTGGAAAAGGCAAAACACAGGGCTCTCCCCCTTCTCCAGAGCCCCTGCTCACATGGTGGCTTAGGCCCAGTTGGGTCTGTGTTGGACCTCTGACCTCTGGAACTGTAAGGAATTGTATTGTGTTAGATTCTCTGTGACGGCTCACAGCAGGGGCGATTTTCAGGCTGTGTGTAGGCCTCCACAGCTGATCCCAGAACTCAAGAGGATTGAGGCCACCTGAGCTATGCATCGGGGCCTTGTCTCAAAATGAGGAGTCTGAAATGGTTTTTGCATATGTGCACCCTAAAATAATTTTTAAAGAACTCTGTAGCCCCAATTCTTAATCCCAAAGTTGTTGACAAAATGTCTTGTTTTTTTATTATGTTATAATCACTCTTTTAAATCTGTGTCACCTAAACTATAACAACACTGCCTTAGGTCGTTTCACTTAGGAAGAATGCATTCTCTGGTGACCTCATTGGCAAGGGGCAAACCAGTCTGCCAAGCCAGACTCACATTCTCTCCGGAGCAGTCTGATGTCAGTTTTCAATTTGAGTAAGTGTGCGGACACTGCCCCGAGAGAACCACCTCATCTTTCTTCCCTTGTCTGACTCAGTGGGGGTTGTGCCAGACAGAGGAATTCTGCCCTTGTCTTCTGAATTCTGCTTCTAAGCTTGAGAACTAAGAAAGCTGTGACCTAACCAATCAAAGTGTCCATGAAATGGGGCAACAGGACTGATGGAATTTTCTTTCTTTTTTCTTTTTTTGAGAAAACATGTGAAACTATGACATACCTACAGAAGACAGTACAGACCGTGCATGCTGAGCAGGCCCTTGTGCCATGAAATACAATTCTCTGGGCATGGTACGTGTTAGTGTTCAGGCATCAGTACTGGCCTGGCCTTGCGGGTGCTGATAAGATATGTCAGCTGCAGCCACTAAGAGCACCCCTGTGCACATTCACTACGTTCCCTTTTAAAAGGTGGATCTTGCCCAGTGGTGATGGTGCACACCTTTAATCCCAGCACTTGGGAGGCAGAAGCAGGCGGATCTCTGTGAGTTCGGGGCCAGCCTACAAGAGCTAGTTCCAGGACAGGTTCTAAAGCTACAAAGAAACCCTGGCTAGAAAAACAAAAAGCAAAAACAAACAAACAAAAAGGTAGGCCTTGCCCACTTCCCATTTCTCTCTCCCTCCCTTGCTCCCTCTCCCGTTCTTCTCTCTCCCGCTCCCCCCTCTAATTCTCTGCTTCTCTGCCTGCCTCTTTCGGTATATCTATCTCTCTCCCCTCTTCTGCTGCTTCTGTCCCCAGAGGCTGGTCTCCCCCTGCCCTTTCCCCTTTTTAGGTCCCCTTTCCCCTAAAGATCCCTCCACATGAATTCTGTCGCAGAGCATCTTTCTCTCTCACACCGCATTTTAAAAAAATTACAGTGGTATGACCATTTCCATCTTGAGGAGACCAGCTGTGATCACCTACATGCGCCCCTCCCTAGATCAAGCCTGTTAAAGCGCCCTCATAGAAAGAGGCCCTCTTCTGACATTATAGCTCTTCCCTCCCCTCTTACCCCAGCTGCACACAACCCTGCCCAGCTGCAGAGGGTCTCGGCAGGTGCTGGAGTGTGTATAGTAGATGGACAGGTGACTAAAGGGTGGGGGGGCTCCTATTTATGTGTCTATGCTTCAGTGGGGTTTTTGGGTAGCACAGCTGTTTGGGGGATCATTCACACACCTATAAATAACTCCAATGAATTCATTGGTTCACTGAACTGAACTGAACTTCAAGAGGATAATTTCTTGGGGCCTCCACTGCCTTCTTTATTGATGTGAATGGGTACAGACTCCTGGGGAGTGACACACACACCCCATGAGCAGCACTCAGTGAAACACAGACCCCTCATCTCATGAAGCCCTTCTTGTTCTCCAATCCTCCTCTCTCTCTCTCTCTCTCTCTCTCTCTCTCTCTCTCTCTCTCTCTCTCTCTCTTTGGTTTTTCAAGGCAGGGTTTCTCTATAGCTGGCCTCGAACTCACAGAGATCCGCCTGCCTCTGCCTCCTGAGTGCTGGGATTAAAGGCATGCGCCACCACCGCCCAGTTTATCCTCATCTCTTAAAGGAGCTTTCTTCCAGGGCCTCCTGCAGGGCATCCGCTGTCTCCTGGCTCCTTCCAGTTTGGCACCTATGCTAGGGCAGCACTCCATGAGGGACAGTGGTGACTGTGCCTGTGAAAGGGAAGGTGGAAAGGGGCCATCTCATTCCAGGCACCTTCCAAAGACAAACTGTATAGCTGGAAGTTGACAATCCGCAAATTGATTTAAAAAAAAAAAACCAACAAAACAAGGCCTCATGTATTCCATTCTGGCCTCCAACTTGTTAAGTAGCCAAAAATGACCTTGAACTTCTGGTCCTCCTGCCTCTTCTGCAGATTGCTGGAATTACAGGTGTGGGCTACCACTTGCTTAAGTGGTGCTGGAACTCAAACCCCAGGGCTTTGTGCATGCTAACCCATCATCCTCCTAACCGAGCTACCACCTCCCCACACCCCTTGCACACTGGTAATTCTTTTTTGTTGTTGTTGTTGCTGTTTTTATTTTTTTATTTTTTTTTTGAGACAGGGTTTCTCTGTATAGCCCTGGTTGGTGTCCTAACTGGCTCTGTAGACCAGGCTGGCCTCAAACTCAGAGATCTGTCTGCCTCTGTCTTCCCGTTGCTGGGATTAAAAGTGTGTGGCTGGTGTGAACTGACCCTGTAAAGCTACGGCTCTCGGAGTGTGGGCTATGGGTCAGCAGTGCTATCCCAGACCCACTAAACTAAAAACTCAAGTGGGTCCAGCCAACTGTTTTAGCATGTCTCCAGGTGGCTCTGGTGTACACTTAAGCTGCAAGGAGAATGGTGCTAGGTTTTGACTGGACAGTGGTGCTAAAGCCACAGGCGGGGAATTCCTGTATCACCTGGGAGTGGGAAAGACTTAAGCTCAGCCCTCACCTCTCTGACATGGAGAAGAGGTCATAGCTTACTCTTCAGATAAACATAAATGAGCACGGCCCCACGTGATGACTAACATTGGTCATCAACTGAATATTTAGAATTAATTGAGACCTAAACTGCTGGGCACCCCTGTGAGGAATTTTCTTAATCAGATTATTTGAGGAAGGGAGATCTACCCTAAATCTGGGCCACGCCTCCTGGCAGCAGTCCAGATAAAAGGATGTGAAAAAAAAGAAACTTTGATTTTTTTTGCCTGCTTGCCCTCACTATCTATGGCAAGACCATTTATTTATTTATTATTTATTTATTTATTTATTTATTTATTTATTTATTTATTTATTCAATTGCTGAGGCATTCCTTTGCCAGCATTTGAACCAACTTCTTTGGGATTCCAACATAGACTGACAATCAGCAGCTGTCCAGGAATCAATCAGGACTCCAGCACCAGACTGGGATTGCTGAGACATCCAGCTTCATGAACCGGCCAGCTACCAGATTCTCACCTTTTTGGTCTTGAGACAGCTATTTTGGGCCTACCCAGATCACAGCTGTAATCCAGGCGAATAAAATCTCTATTCCATATTCATCAATCTGTTCTGTTACTTTTGAGAACCCCAACTAACACACCCAGAAACAGATTCCCTGGGTAACCTGCTATACCGAGGAAACAGATTTAAGAAGTTGTACTAGTTCCAGAACAAAGGAAATCATGACCCAAAGCAGTTTTCAAACACACTGGAGGGAACGCCAGGTGGGGAGATTACAGCGAAGCAGGAGGGTCTGTTAGGTCTCAAATTGGGCAGTGGTGGCGCACGCCTTTAATCCCAGAGGCAGAGACAGGCGAATCTGTGAGTTCGAAGGCAGCCTGGTCTACAAAGTGAGTTCCAGGACAGGCTTCAAAGCTACAGAGAAACCCTGTCTCGAAACCTCCCCCTACATTCCCACCCCTCCCCCCCCAAAATATCTCTGAATACATTCTTGACTTCCGGGTGTGCGGACGAAAGTGGCCGGTGTTGCGGAGGGGGGGGGGGTGGCGCAGGCCTTTAATCCCAGCATTTGGGAGGCAGAGGCAGGCGGATCTCTGTGAGTTCGTGACCAGCCTGGTCTACAAGTGCTAGTTCCAGGACAGGCTCCAACACCACAGAGAAACCCTGTCTCGAAAAAGCAAAAAAGTGGCCGGTGAGCAGAGCCACACATCCTAAATTTCAAGTGAAAGGCAATTTACAGGCAGAGTCCAGAACTCAATGCCTTTGAATTTGAATATGTCCCCCAAATCACCCAGGTGCACACTGGAGTTTGAGAACTACAAGTCCAGGGGTATTTGTAAAAGCAGATTCTCAGAATTTACAGCCAATAAATACATCGGAGGCGCTCGGTGCTTGCTGAGCGAATCCGTTTAAGCCTCGCAACACCTCGATAGGAAGTTAATGAAGCAAAGGCAGATCATCCAACACCGGCACAACTCTACCCCTCAGGCGCCACGACCACGCCAATCCCTTGTCCGACCGGCAGGTGGCGCTGGAGGACGCTGAGAGGCCTTGCTGAGGGCGGGACTTCCTGTGTCTTGGGAGCACTTCCGTCCTGGTCCGGAAAATAGTTCTGTGCGGCTGTGGAGTTCAGCGATCAGGGCTAAGGAACTGATGAGTGACGAGTGACGCTCCGGCACCTTTTTGTCTCTCGGATCAGGTAAGACTGTCGCCGGGAACCAGCGGAATCAGGTGGTCTGCGCGTGAGGGTGATGTGAGCACGTGGCGGTTCCGCGTGGCTACAGAGACCCGCGGCAGGCGTCCAGGTCGTTTGCCTTGAGGGAGGGAGGTCTCGGGACCGGGGCTCCACTCTGGCGCACATGTGAGCGACTCAACCCCACACCGATTCCTCAGATGCCTCAAATTCAGGGCCTTTATTCCGCGCCCAGTAGGCGCTAGTGCTCAGAATGTGCTCTGTGTTGCTGGTGTTCGATTTAAGTTTTCTAAAAACGTGGGCTGAATAGCAGGTAATGCTTCTAAAGAGGTGGGTCTCAACTTCCTTGTTGCCGCGACCCTGCAGTACAGTTGTAGTGCACCCCAGCCCTAAAGTTATTTTCGTTGCTACCCCATAACTGGAATTTTCGCTGCTGTGATTGGTAATGTAAATACCGGTGTTTTCTTATGGCCTTAGGCGGCCCCTGTGAAAGAGGGTTGAGAACTGCTGTTCTAGAGAGTTCCTAATTTTATTCGATCCACGGGCGTTTTCAGAGAAGCCTATGAGTGGGAAGACAGGAATAATATGCAGCCCCTGTCCCCAGAGGAGTAGAGCATCTGTCGTGCAGGGCGCTTATCCCAGGCCTTTCTCCACACTCTCTCTGGCGCTTTCCGTGCCTCAGAGCCTTTTACACTCACTGGTCATTCTCCCTCGATGTGCAGCCCTCTCGCCTTGACTACCCTTAGGAAGATCTCACCTGTCCATCAACGCCCTCCCCTGTGATGGGGGACTGAGCAGTTTTCCTGAGGCCCTTACTCCCTGGCATTAGGCTGCAGAGTCTGGTTTTTACCTCCCCTGAGGCACCTTTTGGACTCCTAATGAAGGCCTGTGTGACTGTAGATCCCTTTTCTCCAGGATGGATTTCCCCAGCTCCCTGCGCCCCTCATTGTTTATGACTGGTCCTCTTGGCATGACTGAGGGCCCTGACCTGTCCTTCATGTGCAGCTGGAGAGATGCACTCACCATGCCTGGGTCTCAGCCCCCGGACTGCAAGGTGAGAATTGAAATAGGGCCCTTCCTTTGGTCGTGTGCCCCCCCCCATACTTCATACCCAGTGGCACAGGTGGTAGGGAAAGAGTGCCAGGCAGGTGCTGCTCCTGCTGTCCCCAGGCCACCCTGCTATCCAGAGAGGGTCACTCAAGAGAGCCTGTGATTCCTCTTTTCTCTGTCTCCCTCCCCAGGTTCAGCAGGTATGTATTGGCCAGTGTTTCTGTGCCAGGGTCTTTTACAGGCCCAGGAGCCCAGCATGGGGAACTTAGGCAACCCTTCCTCAGGAACTGCCAGCTCAGGTGGGAGAGCTTGTACCAACAGGCAGACCCGGTATAGTGTGGCCTCGGCTCTGCTGGACCAGTGGAATGGCAGGGACTGTCGGCATCTTGGGAGGGACATTGTTAGCTGCCCAGCTACCTTGTAGAATTGAGTACTTACAGAAGAGGGGGGTCAAAGAAGGGGTGTTGAGGGAGGGGGGTGTTCTTGGACCTGTGTGACAAGGGAGCCTTGCTGGTGCCTGGATAGCGGGACTCAGAAGTGAGTAACGAAGTTAGAGAGCATGGTGGGCTCCAGGCGGGCAGTAATGCTTCCTTCTCTGGAAGCTGGTGCAAGTGGCGTTCAGAATACAGGTTCCGGAGGTGGCTGCCTAGGTTTAAGTCCATGCCTTCTCCTGGCTGACTCTCACCTGGGGCAAGGGACAGCAACCTCGTGCTTCTGTTTCTACATCAGTGAAGTGAGCAGCTTTGCAGAGCTGTCACGAGGACTGAGTGAGTTGTAGCCTGGAAGTGCACCTCTGCCATGCTATAGCTGTCCTGTTCCCCTAGGACCGGACAGTGCCATTGGTCAAGAACCTGCTGTGGGAGCCAACGACACCAGGACCCCTCCCCCTGCTGCCTCCTGATCCTGGTAAGGGCCTCTTTCTGGGCTCCCTCCAAGGACCTCAGCGCGCGCTCTCTCTCTCTCTCTCTCTCTCTCTCTCTCTCTCTCTCTCTCTCTCTCTCTCACACACACACACACACACACACACATACACACACACATGCACACACAGAGGTATTCCAGGCCCTGGATACCTACAGACACTATTGTGTTCCCATGCCTTCTCAGATTCTGACCTCTCTCTTCCCTTAGATCCCTGGGAACCTGGCATGACCCCTCGGGACCTCCTTTTCCGGGGAGGTCACCGCTGCCAGTTCCTACCTCAAGTTGGGCTGGATGTCACTGAGCAGGTGAGTGGTCCCTGGGTGGGATTGTGCTGCACAGCCTGGGCTGTGCTGAGTGACACAGCCATTCCCCCACAGCTCAGCCGCTTCCTGTGGGACCATGGGGACATAGCCTTCGCACCCCTGGGAAGGCTCATGCTGGAGAACTTCAGATTGGAGGGAAACAAGGTGCGCAAGTGCCATTGGCTGGGTAAAGGGTCGGCCGCCTCCCTGGTGGGTCCCGGGGTTGCAAACCTGACAGGCCTTTCTTGCAGGGCTACTCAAAAAAGATGACCATAGTCAGCGTGAAGGGGCTGCTTCAGGACCTCGGTGGACACCAGCCCTGGGGGCAAGTAGCCAGTGAGAAAGCAGCCATAGGCCTGGCTGGTGGTGGGAATGTAGAAGGATCTGGGACACAGAGCAAGGTCATGAGGGAGTTCACACAATCCCCGGCCCCAGGCAGCTTGGTGGATCTTAGGCACAGCCACATCCAGGTGTTCAGAATGCTGTCAGGGCTCTCTGTTTTCCCATCCACTTCCCTCTGACTGACTTAATTCAGGTAGCAACAGGATGGCTTCTTATTCCAAGGAGTGAGTGCCTGAAGTAGCACAAATCGTAGAAAAGACCCGTTGGCCTGGCTGGAGCCTCAGCTGTCTGTGGGCCGTTCGCTAGAAGGGTTTGGGTTCCAGGAACTGGGTAGGGTGTATTCTAGGTAGTTATGACAGAGGCTGTCTGCTTGTCCTTCACTGTCCCAGTGTCATCTTCTGCTGCTCTGTCCCAGGTGTCCTTGGGCTTTCCTTAGCCGGCGGCTCCGTCGCTTCTCCATCCTTGGGGGTCCTGTCCTGAGCAGGTCAGTGTCCGTGCTTCTGGGCAGGCTGCTGCATGAAGAGCTGGCTCTGCGGTGGGAGCAGTTGCTGCTGGATGAGGCCTTCACTGGGGGTGCCTTGGCCTGGCTCCCTGGAAGGACAGCCCGGGTTGGACAGCTGGTCTACCCTAGTGGAGGTGCCCTGGACAAGCTGTGTATCCTTTCTCATTTGGTGGGGATCCTGAGGCCGTCCACAGTGGTCCAGGGGAAGTGTGAGATGGGTGACCAGAGTGCATCCTGATCCTTAACCAGGGGCTCAGATTTCCAGGAGGTCAGTGTGAACTCAAGTGGCAATCCCCGGGTCTTTGAGGACCCTGGGCATATCCAGCTGCGGGGACCTGTACGGCAGGTGGTGACCAGCACTGTCCAGGGAGAAAGTGAGATTCCTTCCCCTTCTTCCTTCCTCCCCTTCTTCCCTCTTGTCTAGCTGGTTACTACCCTGCCATACATACACTGCAAGCCTAACCTTTCTGTCCTCCCCAGCATTCCTGGCCGTCCGCTCTGACTACCATTGTGCCATGTGGAAGACTGATAAGCAAGGGCCGCCAGCACCCCTGAAGGTGCTGCAGGTGGAAAAGGGGGCCACTGGTGTTAGCCTCAGGTGAGAGATGTTGGCCTCCTGGCAAGGACAAGGGGCTGGAGGAAGGACTGGGTTGCTGGATCTTAACACAGCACCCTGTGTCCTGCAGCCCTCACCTGCCAGGAGAGATGGCTATCTGCAGCCGTTCTGGAACTGTATGTCTGTGGACCCCACAGGATGGGTAATTTCCCCTTTCCCCTGAAACCTTCCACCCCAAAGCAGTACTATGGCCTTCTACGCCATGGCTCAGTCCTCTTTCCCTCCATCCCCCCCCCCCACCTAACACCCTTGTAACCCCAGACCCCACCAGGACCACACCTATGATCTGCCTTCCTTTTCAAGGCTGCAGCTAGTCTACAAGGACCCTGAGACGCTTGCCTTCCGTGATCCTTCTCCCTGGCGCTGGGCAGATTTCACTGCCCACCCCCGGGTGCTGACCGTGGGTGACCGCACAGGTGTGAAGATGGTTGATATTCAGGTACTGGTGTGAGGGGACAAGAAGCGAGGAGTCGGAAGTGATGGTCTGCAGGAGGCCCATCTCCAGCCTGAGACAATGGCTGACCATGCTGTACTCTCCCTAGGGATCCCCAGGCTGTGGGCTGCTGCTGTTCCGTGCTGGAGCAGAGGCCGCTTGCCAGAAAGGAGAGCGGGTGCTGCTTGCCCAGTACCTTGGGCAGCCGGGTCCCGCCTGCACTCCTCTGCATCTCATCTGCACCCAGGTGAGCAGCAGCCTCCTCCCTGGGCTGACTCAGCCTTCTCCAGAGCTGCTGCCAGCAGGCCTGATGCACAGCCATAGGAACCTAGGAGTGTTGGGTCCCTGTGCATCTCATTAGAGCAAGCAAACTGGGTCATCTGCAAAATCAGATGAGAACCTGGGAGGAGGCAGAAAGTGACTGTAGCTCAGGCTCCCAGGTGGCACAACAGTCTTCCATTGGGGTCAAGGTTTTCTTCATGCTCTAATGAATACCCTTCTGGGATGGTGCTGCATGCCCAGGAAGTACATGTTCCAGATTTGGTAGGCCAAGTTGAGCAGGACTTGAAGGCTGATGGGAGGGCCCTCCTCTGGGTGTTGGGTACTTCCTACAAGCTGTGTGGGTTAGAAAGGATTATTGGAAGACTGGTGCCAGGCATCAGCCATGCCCACTTCTCTCCTTCTTCAGTTCTCGATCTACCTGATGGATGAGCGCCTACCCATGGTGCCAATGCTCAAGTGGGACCATGGACTGCCATCTTCTCCCCTGTTTGCTCGCCTGCTACCCCCAGCTAGCCCTGGATTCCCACGGCCCCTGCTACTGGGGGGCCAGGGTGGACAACTTCAGCTGCTGCATATAGCAGGTCAGCCAGGAGGGAAGGAGGCTCATGGAGATACCCTGGGGCTGGGCTGGTATACTAGCTCTCTGTCCTTCCTCCAGGAGAGGGCCCTTCCATGCCCCAGCTAGCAGGGCCGCCTCAGTCTCTGCCCTCCATCGTCGACTCCCTTTCCGCCTTTCCCCCACTGGAACCCAGGAGGCAGCAGCAGCTGCAGGAGCGTCTGGAGGCACCAGTCATAGGTGCGATGGGCAGAAGGGGCTTGGGGCTGCTGTGGGAAGGTGCTGCCAGACCCTATAGCTCTTCTCCCTCCCTGTCTAGGTCTGGCTGCTGCCCCACCCTGTGCCTCTGTCCCTGCGCTGCTGCTCTTCCAGCTCTCGGCAGCTGGAGACATCTTTTACCAGCACCTACGCCTCCAGTCAGCCTCCAGTCTTGGAGAAGGATCACCTGATCACCCAGCAACAGAGGGCCCTGCACCCAAGGCAACAGCACCTATGGATCAGTCCTCTTGGACCCCTCAGGCCAGTGTCCGCTGCAGCCGCTGGGCAGAAGCCCTGATGGAGCTGTCCCCTACTTGTCCAGTGTGGGCTGCCCCCACCTTTTCCCACCGTCGTTTTCTGGGCCACATGGAGCAGCAGAAAAGCCAGCCCATGTCACAGAAGCTCCGAGCAGCCATGGCCAAAGGACAGCTCTTGCGACCTGAGGATCTGGGCACACTCCCCAGGGCAGAGTCGCCCCCTGCACCTCAGTGCAGCCAGCAGGATGAGCTCACTGAGCGCTTGGCAGAAGCCTGGGAAAATGGGATAGCTGCCTGGTGGAAAGGGCACCGAGGTCAGACCTCGGGGTCCAAGACACAGACCAAGCGGCCTAAGCGCCGGACTCAGCTGTCTAGCACCTTTTCCTCACTCACAAGCTACTTGGACATCCCAGATACCAGCAGCCCCTCTTGTAGCCAAAACCTTTCTACCTCAGAGGCCGGGCCTCAGCCCCCAGGGACCCAGCCTTCCCAGGAGTTGACACAGGAGCTGTGGACGGAAAGTGTGCAGCATGAATGTCAACAGACACTCCAGGACTACACGGCCAAGCTGCCACTTCAGAAGGACACTCCAGGACCTGTGGCTACACCTCCTTCCCAGGCTTCCAGCCTCCGGGCCATGCCTTTGAGGCGGCAGGCACCTGTCCTGTCTGGCTCCCATCCTCCCCGGAAGAAGTCACGGATGGGCTTCTGAGTGTGGACAGCCATGCCTGAAAACCTAGCCCTCCTTGCACTGAACTCAACCAGTATGGTCTCCAGGGCAGATCCTCTACCTCTCAACGACAGTGTGCCCAGCTGAAGGAATGGGGAACAAGTCTGTTTTGTGTGTTTGATGGCAGGTTATTCCAGAGCTCTGGCCGCAGAGGCTCCCTCGGGGTCACCTATCCCTCTGGGGACTCATCCAGTGTGGGCTGCCCCCACCTTCTCCCACTGCTGTCTTTAGGACTCAGTGGAACAGCAGCAGACTGGCCAGTTACACCTCCCAGGGCCCCCTGCATCTCAGTGCAGTGGAGCTGATGGAAGTAGAGCCCTTGTGTCAGTCTTAGCCTCCTGGCCTCAAAGACAATGGTGTTGGGGGCTGAGGTGGCCCGATGTGGGTCAGCAGCTACTGTTGTGGGCTGTTTGTGACAGTCCACATGGGCTCTGTAGGAGTTGATGCCTTGACTCTGGCTTAGAGACTGAATAAACCCATCCACTATCCAGGAGCTGGATGTCATATGAGCAGAGATGTTGTCTCAGTACCTTTCCATGCTGATGTGTAAAGCCCTGCTCCCTCCACCTTGGGGATGCACACACAGCACAGGGTTTGGGGTGGAGTCTCTGTTCTCATCAGAATGGGGCCTGACTGGCAGCCCAGTAACATGCTGACTTGTGTGGGTCTTAAAGGGTTTATGTAATTATGGGATCTGTAACCAGGGAAACCGATGCACTGGATACAAGGCACACAGATGTGGCTGCAGAACAGATGCCGCGCAGGGTCCCAAAGTGCACCAGCAGTGACACACAGGACAGGGTGCCCTGTGTCCATTTCACCACTGCTAGCCTAACAGTGTAGACTGCCTTGGGGTTCAGTCCAAGCCAAACTCTATGTCATCCAGTCTTGCCCTGATGCTGGGCTCTTCCAGGTCCAACAAAGACTGTGCTTCATCCTCTGCTCTGTCTCCTGAAGAGATGGGAGAGGACAAATCAGTACTTGGGTAGAGCTGCCCTTCTTGCTGAGTACTGGCCCAGGAGTCCTTCAGAAATGCCCCTTACTGTCGGGCAAGAGGAACATGGGAAATAGAAGTGCATATTCGACCCTAGGCCAGCCTCCTGTTTGTCCTGACTAGCTGCCCAGACTGCCCTGCATGCCTGCACACAGCACCAGGTGTGTGGCTTAAACTGTCACGTCTTCACTAACACCTGTGCTTTTGTCACTCAGCCCTAGTGTCAGTGGTCTTCTTCCCTCTCCAGAGCCTCTGGCCTGGAACCATAGGACCAGGTGACACACCACAGCCAAATGATCACCTATGAAGAGGGCAGAAACCCCCATCTGCTTCCCTGTCTCTGTGGTTCAATAGCCTCTGGAGTGTTACCTAGCGGGGTGGCTGCAGGCAGCTGGCTGTCTCCGGCTTCACTGGACTGGGCAGGTGCCGCTTTACTTGCCCATGTTTGGGGTGGCAGGGGCTGGTTTGATTCATCCTCTCCCTGCTCATCTTCCAGCTCCTGGATGAGGGGTCCTGGAGAGGTGGCGCTGGAGACTTGACCTTGGGTTTCCAGTTCCGTTGCTGTTGGCTTACATATGTCTGCGAAAGGCACCCTGGCCGCCTTTGAGGGGTCCTTGGAGATGGCAAATATGTTTGAGAGGCCTGTGGAGCCTATGGGAGTGCCTTCCAACACCAGGAGGGAAGAGTCGTCCAGTTCAAGGTCACTGTCATCACTCAAGCTGGAAACCACCTGGATTTTCGGGATGCCCGTTTCCTGGAGAGAGAGTGTGAGCTGTGTTTGATTTTCCCATGATCACAATACAGGAAGTGCAGGGGTAGGGAGATAGCAGGCTGGTACAGGATGAACACCTCAACCAGTCCCCACCCACACAGCTCCCCTATACCACCCTACCAATGTCTGGATTCTAGCCTCTGCCACACCCCATAGCCCAGCAGCTCTTCAGGACTTTGTTCTTGGACTTCGGTCTCCTGGAAGTGAGATCTCATGCAGAGGTTCCCTCCAAAGCTTCTCCTAGACACAGGATCTGATACAGTTGCTTCCTGGCTCCTGGTTATGCCCAGGAAGTCGGGTGCCTTACCAACCCTATCTAGGGATAGCTTCAATAGATGAGTTTGGGAAGTTTGCATAGGAGCACAGCAGAAGACAGAACATTCCCAGTTCATTTCATGCAGCCACTAATAGAGCTCGCAGCAGAAAGCCCAAGTGGCTGAAATAAGCTCTCAGAGGGACCAGAGAGTGACTACTTCCCAGTAAGCTGGATACATGGCCAGTCTACTCAGAAGGGCAGTTGACTTTTATGAGAAGGAAATGACCTCTAAGGGGCAGGTGTGGTGGTGCACTCCTGTAGGCCCAGCACTCAGGAGGTAGAGACAAATGGGTCCCTGAGTTCAAGGCCTGCCTGTCTGCAGTGAGCTCAAGGTCTGCCATGGGCTGCACCGTGAGATCCTGTCTCAAAAAGAACTAGGCATGCCTAGCTCATGCCTATAATCCCAGTACTTGGAGGGCTGCCATAGTTTAAGGCCTTTCTGGGGTATAGGGAAGAGAGTGCTGACCTTTGTCTGGTCCTCCATAAACGTGTCACTGTCCTCAACATCTTCCAAGTCGGGCAGGTCCTGAAAGAGCCAGTGAGCACATAACGAGTCACTCAGACACAATGGAAGAAAATATAAGCAGGGGACAAGATGTCCTAAGGGAACCATCACCAAGGCCCCTCAGTAACTCCCACCCATGCCCACCAGAAGACCTCAGCATGCTCAAAGCCACACTGCCACTTCGAGTCCAGCCATCTACCCAATGGGAAGATTGTCACAACTCCTTCACTTTGTTGTGTCATGGGAAACCCCAACTCAAAAGTACCTCTCTCTGAGCTTCAAGTACCTCCTGACATCCAGAAAACCACGCCACCATTTCCTAGATGTGTGGCCTTGGGCAAGTTGCTTAACCTCTCTTGTTTCTCCAGTTCCTCCTCCATAATACTGGGATGATCATACTCCATATCTCAGAACACTTAGTATGTACCATGCCTTAAGCAAGGCAGCCTCAGAGTAGAAACTACATCCTCACTGTGTTCTATATGGTCCGGTCTTGAGTGCAAAGCTTAGGCCTTAAGCAGGCAGAGTGAGCCCCCAGCTCACATGGGATTGCATGCCCGCTGAACTATTATTGTTCTCTGAATTGCAGTTCTTGGGGCAATGTGATAATGTGGGATCTCTCATGCCTTCCATGAGGGAAATACATTATACTGTCATCCAAATGGGAGGAGCTTTGGGGAGAGGTAACATAGCTGTAACTCGACGTTTGCTGGGAGAGACACTGGACAATCACACCATGGTGAACCAACAGGAAGCCAGAGTAGGGACTAGCCAATGAGGTGGCTGGAGCCACCTGCCAGGCTGTGGGTGTGAGGCCCAGCAGGCTTCAGTGATGTGTGACTCCAGAACCAACCACAGACTTGCTTTGTACTATAATGGCCCAGGAAACTCTTGCGTGGCTTTCACAATCTGGGGGGGGGGGGGGGGGGGGGGGGGGGGGGGGGGGGGACAAACCTGAATATGAGCAGGGTGAACTGGGGGTATGCCTGGCTGGGTATGCTGTACCTGTTCCCTGGGGAACTCTTAAGAGTCACAGAGGACCATAAAGGTGTCAGCCCCCTCCCCCCCAGCTTGATCAGTCCCCTGCTCACATCAATGAAAAGCCTCTCCTTGGTCTCCACGGCAATGGCTTCTGTGTCTTCAGTTCTAGCTCCATCAGTAGAGGCCACTGGAGACGTGGACTCTGAGGAACAGCAGTGAGAAGTTACTGACCCTGGCATGGATTTCAGATACAAAGGCCGGGGTGACATGCTACAGGTTAAGAGGGAAGGACAGACCTTCCTGGGTGTGATTGGATAGACACCATAATGGAAGCCACAAGAGCCCTCTGCTGAGGTCAGGGCTGCACCTCCACCGCCAGCTGAGGAAAGACGGGAAGAAGCTGGCCCTGCTGTGAGTCTGCAGAAGCAGCCAAGCCAAGAAGAGACAGCCTGACTGCCCAGTGAGAAAGGGATGTTCTCAAGAGAACAGTTGGTTCCAAAGCCCAGAGCTGCCAACCTTGTAGCGCAGCCCTGGTAGAGGTCTCTGCCAGCTCACACTGCATCACATATATGGCTGCCTGCTCTCCAGGGCCAGGGACCTGTGCCATTTAACACAGCGAGACTGTCTGGATGGGCAGAAGCAGTACGGGTCCTCCTCTGCCAGGCCCGCCTTGCCAGGTTCCTAAGCCCTAGCCTTGTGTGGTCTGTTCACTCACTCACACCTCCTGCTGGGCTAGGCACCAGGGCACAGGAGAAGAGTGGCTAAGCCAGGAAGCCCATCCTGCCCTACAGATCCGTGTGTGATATTTGTAGCTGAGGTGGTGGCACAGCCACACAGGCTGATCTCAGAAACCTCTTACCTGCAAATATCAGTCACAGCAGATCCATGTGGGGAAAGCCACTGGGCAAGCAAGACCCTTGCTAAACAGACACATTTTCCCAGAAGCTCAGAGCAGGCAGGTTACAGGTCTGACAATCCTACCCTGAACTAGAGACAGCAGCTTTCCCTTGTTACATAAGCAATCACCAAAGCACAGCATGTCCCAAGACAGACATTCTGGCCCAGGGTCCCATCAAACCCAGAAGAGCTGTGAGCATACCAGATGTGCGTGGCAGGGCACCAAGAGTGGGTTCCTCTTGGTGAATGTGGCTCTCCAGTACCATGCCAAAGCCCCTGCTTCCCTCTTCCCCCGGATAGTGATTAGTGCCCTTCTCCCCACCCCTGGTCTTGCATTTCCTTCTCCCTTGATGCACAGTGTGGTATACCTGAGCTCCCTGCCTCATGCTCTTCTCTAGTCTGCCCTTAAATGCTTCCTCCCTGCCCCTGCCCTCCTCCTCTCTGCATCTGCCCTCCTCCTACCTGCCCCTGCCCTCCTTTCCCAGTCCCTGCTCTTCACCTCCCTGCCCTACCCTCCTCCTCCCAGTCCCTGCCCTCCTCCTCCCTGCCCCTGCCCTCCTCCTTTACTTGCAAGATAATTCCCACAGCCCTAGCACCTAATCCTTCACACTCTCCCTTCATGAGAACAGAGCCCTCCCAGGATTCTCCATGCAGCAGGGCCTGCTTCCTGGGCCAGACTTCATGTTGGTGGCTCTGAGTGTTGTACTGCCTAGATCAGACCTGCCTGAGGGCGTGGCTGTGAGGGACTGCCTTGATTTCGAATTGGTATAAAAGGGTCTGGCCCACTATGCAAAGCACTGTTCCCTCAGCAGGTGGTCCTGAGCTGTCTAAGAAAGCTAGTTGAGCATGAATGAGAGAGAGAGAGAGAGAGACAGAGAGAGAGAGACAGAGAGAGAGAGACAGAGAGAGAGAGACAGAGAGAGAGAGACAGAGAGAGAGAGACAGAGAGACAGACACGGACGGACAGACATTAACAGTGTTCCGCTATTGCCCCCACTGGAGTTCTTGCCCTGACATCCCTCTGTGACACACTATGACCTGGGG